CCCCTCCTCCCAGACTGCCCTGCCCTGCTTCCCTCCTGACAGCCACGCTGAGGCCCGGTATTTCGGGCTGCGGCCCATAGTTTGGGAAACGCTGTTATAGACCTTAAATTTTCCAGACCTCTCCCCCCCTTTTTTTAACACACATAATTTTCTACACGGGATCTTTCCTCAGTATGTTACTGACCAGGTGTGGAGGGAAGTGAGCTAGAAACAATACAAGCTATGTTGGATTTTTACTGAAGTGTATACACCTTTAGTTTTGGCATGGGTTTGCTGATGCACAGTGGTAAAATAATGGTTGTCTTTAATACAAAGAGGAAGAATGGTTCAGTGGTTGAGAGTCTAAACAGGTACTTCTGAAATTGGGGTTTGGTGTTTCTATACAGGCTTCTATGAACTTGGATGAGTTCCAAGCCAAAACTCAAAGGGATTCTTCCTAGGGTTGCAGATGGTTTAACCAAAAATACCGCTCTCCCTCCCTCCCCCCTTCCTCCCCAAAAAAAGAAACACCCTGACAGGAAGTTTTTCCTAATGTCCAACCTACACCTCCCTTGCTGCAATCTAAGATCTTTGCTTCTTGTCCTATCTGCAGAGGTTAAGGAGACTAATTTTCTTACCTCCCTGTGACAGCCTTTTATATATTTGAGAACTGTGATAGCCTTTCCTTCTTTTCTGCTACAAACAAAGAAATCTTTCCTAGTAGGTCATATTTTCTAGATCTTAAATCCTTTCCAGGAAGTCATTTTCCATTTTGTATTTGTACAGTTGATTAGTCCTTCCTAAATTGTAGTGTTTACATGTGTCCTTATTGAATTTCATTCTGTGTACTTCAGGTCATTTTTCTAGTTTGTCCTGATCGTTTTGAATTTTAAACCTATCCCCTAAAGCACAAAGCTGTGCGATCTCTCTCAGCTTGATATCAATGTTCCCTCTAATCTTTTCCATCCATTACAGTAAGCTTTGCTTGTTATGTGAAGGAGGCAGGGTTTATCATGTGTTTGGGGAATTAGCATTGAGAAATGATATTCCTGAGCAGCACTAACACTTTCTAAGTTAGACTTGGAACCACCACCATACACTCTCTTGGAAGTATAAGATGAGCTGGTCATACTCATAGTATTCCACACTTTATAAGAACTTCTGCTAATATGTCTTGTTATGATTAGCAAGATCTTTTGTATCAACCTCAATAATAAAAGGTCCTTTGGCTTTAGATAAAAGCTGAATAAATCTCAGTTGAGCTTTCTTGTTTCTTTTGACACTGGCATGTTAAATTAAGCTACCTGCAAGAGAGCCATGTCTAAATGCTGCTTCTTGGCTGACCCACAGTTTCAAGGTCCTGTTAATGAGCACCCTAGTAGAAGTACAGGCAGTCCCCGAGTTACGTACAAGATAGGGACTGTAGGTTTGTTCTTAAGTTGAATTTGTATGTAAGTTGGAACTGGTACATATTGTAGGGGAAACTCTAGCCAAACTTTCCTCCAGAGCTCAGTTTTATTCTCCCACACCTCACTTCCCTCAGTCCTTTATTCTCAAGCTGAGGTGTCTGCTGAGAGAAGCCGCTAGCTTTGCGTCTCCCTGGTCTGCTGGGGGGAAGCAGCTAGTGCGGGGTTGCCTTACCCCGTTTGTAAGTAGGGATCCGATGTAAGTCGGATCCATGTAACCCGGGGACTGCCTATACACGAGCTTCTGTTTAAAGCCTCAGACTCTTCTCATTTAGAATATTGACTGTGTTGAACCACTTGGAGTTCTATGTACGTGGCTCATAGATGTTCTACTGAGGTTATCCGGCTAGGTCATCTAGTTCAGGAGTTAACCTTTTTCTTTGGGAGCCCCCCACATCTCCTTGCAACATGCTGTAAAAACTCCACAGCCCACTTATGCCATGATCATCAGTTTTCTGTGAATAAAAGCCAATGCTGGCATTAAGAGGTAGCAAGCAGGGTGGTTGCTCTGGGCCCCATGCCGCAGGGCACCCCACAAAGCTAAGTTGCGCAGACTTTTGCTTTAGTCCTGGATAGCAGAACTCAGGGCTGTGAGCTTGAGTGCTGCTTGTCAGGGCTTAGGCTTTCCTCTCTGGGCCCCAGCAAGTCCAGTGCTAGTCCTGCTTAATGGACCCCCTGAAACTTGCTTGTGGCTCCCCAGGGGCCATGGATACGTGATTGAGGATCACCAATCTAGGTAGTCTGAAGACATTGCTACTGCAGTTGAACCTTGTAGTATGAATGTAGCTTCAACCTTTTATGGCAGCATCCTTCTTCCTCTGCTATTCACAGGCCCTCACTCATCTCTGCTCCTGTACAAGTTAAGAATTGTTTTCCCTGTTGTTTAAATGGCCAACATTTCTTTTTCTTCCTGTTGTACATGGATGAATAAGTACTTTTTCTAGTGTGGCTTCTTTTTCAGGTGACATGTTTTGCATTACTGGCATCTGAAGTTTTCACTGTGATGTTTCAGAAAATGTGGGAGATCCCTGGTATTCTGAAATTCTCCAACAAATGGTCTGGTAGCACTTTATAGACTAACAAAACATGTAGATGGTATAAGCTCATGATACCATCTACATGTTTTGTTAGTCTATAAAGTGCTACCAGAAAATGTGTTGTTTTTTTTCTGTAACAGACTAACTCGGCTACCCCCTGAAGCTCCTGAAATCCTCCAGTTGTTTAGAAATCAGTTTGTTTGGGCATGCCCAAAGGTCAGGAGACCTTTGAGAGAGCTCAGATCTTAACATTCCTACAAGGAGCGTGGATAGTAAAGTGGGCTAAGAGAATGGAAGTGGAGGGCTATGTCTAGACTGCAGGCTTCTTTTGGGAGAAGCTTTTTCCGGAAGAAATCTTCTGAAAAAACTTCAGAAAAAGAGTGTCCACACTGCAAAAGTGCATCAAAAAAGCGATCTGCTTTTTCCAAAGAGAGCGTCCACACTGCATGGACACTATCTTGCATTTAAACTGTGATTACTATGGGTGGAGAGGCCACCAGGGCATGTGCTTTTTCCTCTTTCCTCTTCTTTTGAAAGAACTCCCTCTTCCCCATCCACACACATGCCTTTTTCCAAAAGAGCTCTTTCAGAAAAAGGCTTCTTCCTTGTAGAAAGAGGCTTACCAATGTCAAAAGAACCCCTCTGTTCTTTCAGAAGTGGAGGTGGAGAGAGGAGGTTGGCACCTTGCCATACCAGTCATGGGAATCCCCAACCCCACTCCACTATTCTGTTCCTTATCCAGCACTTCCTTTTTAAGTCTTTGACCAGCCTATTTATCTGATCACTGTATGCCTTCCTTGTGGACTGGGCATCTATCCCACACTTATAAAATAATTCGTTGCATATGGCCTATCCCATTTTCTTAGCAAAAATGGTCATCCCAGACACTTGCTCTGGGAAAGGCAACACCAAAAAAACCTCACTCCACCAAAGCCAATCTGGTGGTGGATTCTAACCCAATCTGATATCTGCTCCCACTAAGGAAGGGTGCTGCCTATGGCCTTCAGACCTCTCATTCCTGTGGGTGAACACCACAAAGCTGACAACTGTTTATCTTTTGCAGCAGTCTCTGACCTTATTTTTCCCTCCCTTCCCCAGCCATAATGCACAGCTGCCCTCTTTCTGCAAGTCCAGCCAAAGATTTCCGTCATTAAGTGTGTTGCAGTCATTTTCTCTGGGGGTTATCTTAGAATGTCACCCTCAAAAGTGCATGCAGCTATCTAAGTAGCATTATCACTTTGTTCTGAAATAAGAGCTGATCTGTTATTGCAGAGAAACAAATTTATTTTCTTATCTCATGTATGATTCTTTGCCTTGACTTTATCCCTATTCTGAACTTGGTACTCAAAACAGATAAATATAAAAAAGATCATTTTCAAGGCTAGGCAAGGGCACCATATTTGTTTTGACAACTGCATCAAATGAAACGTTCCTGAAAAGAGATTAGAGCACAGTAAAAGTAGCAAAACTTTATGGCTACTTTGTGTGGGAATGAAACTGTAGGATATTATTGCTCTGTCATTAGATTTTTTTTTTAAACCAAGTAAAGAAATAGGCTTGTCACAAATGGATTTTTCTTCAAAGTTTGGTATATTATGATTTTTACTACTGATATAAATGATATCACAGCTGGGGTTTAGGACATAAAAAGGGAAATTTCAATTCCATCATGTAAATGGCCATGCAAAACACCATTAATTAATATACTTTATCTGGATTTTGAACTTAAAACAGTAGTACTTTAAAAACACACACCCTAATTTCATGTATTTAACATGGTATAAGATAGAGTGACTTTCATGAGCAGCAATAATCTGTTGAAAGAAATGTTGCCAATCTGTTTCTTCCTATGCATGGTTAATTTCTCAATTTTGTGTATTTTAGATGAGTGCATTTTGAACTGTACTGTGTAAATCGTATGTGACAGCTGACATGACTTGTGTACAACATGAACAACAACTGATCCTTAAACATCCAAATGATTAGTCAACTGTATCTTTTTCTCTTGTTGCAAAGACCAGTTGATATATTTAGAAAAACAAAAGTAAACTAAAGTTGTTCCTTCAAAGCAAGGGTTGGCAAGAGGCTGCCAGCGGGCCAGATCCGGCCCACCAAGCCACCAGATCCGGCCTGCGGCCCCCTCGCTGGAACCCTTAGGCAGAGATCAGTTCACATTTTAGAAAGCCAGCTGTTCTCCGCTCCTGAGGGCTGGGGAGGGAGAAGGGGGACTTCTCATGATCTTCACACCCCCCAGCAAAATCTCTTAGCTCCCATTGGCCAATCTCTCAGTTTCTGGGCCTTTATGAGCCAAGAATTTTTGCTGGGAGCAGAGGCCTCTTCTCCTTTCCCCTCCTCCCCTTCCTCTCATACCCGAGCAGAGCCACATGGAGCAGTGAGCTACCTTCACCCAGAGCCTGCTTCTGGCACCCGAGCCCCACCCTTCCCCAACCCTCTGCTCCTAGGGTTGCAAGGTGTCCGGTTTTGAACTGGACAGTCCAGTATCTGAGCTTGCTGTTCAGGAAACAAATTGAGAAAATAGAAATGTCCGGTATTTCTAACTCAGATGGAATGTATATTGTGATGTCATGTATCGTGTGTCCAGTATTTTTGTTGAAACCATCTGGCAACCCTATCTGCTCCCCCCCATATACCCAAACCTTCTGCCCCCTCCTGCACCCACACCCCCTCCCAGATCTGGCATACCAATCCCCTGCCCCAGATCACAAGCCCCTCCTAGCCTAGATCACATCCCAAAATCCTGCATCCCAGTCTCCTGCCCTGAGTTCCAACCCCTCCCCCTCTCCCCCAATTACAACCATTTTTGTAAGAGCGGAAGGGGTCGGAAACCCCCGAATTATGTCCTCAGCCCGCATTTACGATGCATGGTGCCTACCGTAAATGTGCGTTTGAGTTATAATGCCCCCAACTTGTGACACTTCCTCCAGAACGAATCACATCACAAGTTGGGGGCCTCCTGTACCTCCTTCACCCAAACTCCCTCCCAACCCCAGTCTCTTACCCCAAGCTCCCTTCTGTACCCAACCTCCATTCCAGACCCCTCTCCTCTTCCATTAATATCCTGGAAAAGTGTGGCCCTCGACCACATTCCAAAATCTTGGAGTGGGCCCCCTCCCATCAAAATTTATTGCCCACCCCTGCTTCAGAGCAATGTCCCTCCCCTCCTTCTCCCCTGAGTGAAACTGGTACTGTGTGGTTTTACTGTTAGTTTCATAACAGAGACACAAGTAGCTTATTGCACTCGTCATCGGGTGCTACTGAAATGTCTTCTGCCATTGGACAATAAAAACTCAATAGAAATAATCTAAATTATGTTTGGGTATAGGCAATGTTGTTTAGTGGTTAAACCACCGAACTTGAAGTTATATCTCTTTTTAATGTTGATAATGTTTACATGGTGATAAATTGATAGTTTATTATATAGGGGGTGTTCTTATCTAGGCTCCATTCCTGAGGTATGCCAGTTTTATCAACAGTTTGCTCTAGTGGTTGGGTTTCCCTAGTTTAATCCATAAATTCCACTGATGGTAATTTCTTCTGCATAAGCCTTCATTGTCTGGATTTATCTTTCTGATTATCAGTATTTGTGTAGTTTGCATTCTCCACAAGGTGGCAGTCTGTAGTTATTCTTTTCTGTCAATAGATTGGTTACTCTGAGACAAAAGCATATTAAAGTAGCTTCAGCGTAAGTAAGAGCAACATAGCAGGTAATGACCAAAGAATTCAAATTGTCCTTTTAGTGGAAATAGGTGGTAATGGTATGTACATGCTGTTGTCATGGTCCTTATTGCCATTAGTAGATAATGGTATGATAGTGCCTTTGCCATTCACAGTACTGTATAAGATTGTGTGATGAGCATCAAACATTAAAAGGTTTCTTAGGAAGGAATCAGTGAAATGAGCCAAACCTTCAGGAGGAGGAAACATTGGTGTTGATCCTTCTGCCTGAAAGTTTGTTGCTTATTTTAACATATATGGTCCAAGTATATAGTGAGGTATGACGTTATAATGTGGTTCCAGTCAGTATACTGAATCTTATTGTAAATAAATATATGCATGCAATCACATCATTTCTGTTGCATTTTAACTGTGTATTGGCATTCTATAAACAGCATTCCTTAGCGGGTAATAGCCTTTTAATATAGATCATCATCATAGTTGTAATTCCACCTCTTTCTCACTTAGCTGCTTTCTCGTGTATTTGGAAGGATATGAGAAGGGCTTGCACAATATTTGAACAACTCTTAGGACTTGCTTCAAGCAATAGAATGTTGGTTATAAAAACACTGACGGACCCTTCTTATTCACAGGGAATCTGAAGACACAGCTTTGCTTCTTCTCAAAGAAATATATAGGACTATGAATATCAGCCCAGAACAGCCGCAGCACTGATGTGTGTATACCTGAATTCGTAAGTGATGTTCTCATATGGTCTTACATCCCAGCATAATTTTGGACATGATTTTGGAGACCCATTTTTTTCTTTTCCCATGAAAGCTTACAGTATGAAACAGGCAGTTACAAAGGTTATAATGTTAAAATGTGCAAATTGTAGTTCTGGCTATAACGATCCTCCATTTACTTTGTCACTGTTTAGGAGCAGACTCTCTGGAGGAGCAGTTTGTAGGTTCCTGGGTTGATGAATGGGGAAAAATAAATATCATCAATAGCCCTGAGCTCCCCTTCCTCTTCTTTCCTTACCGCTTGGGATGAAGGCTTACACTCCTTCCTGTTTTGCTGTCTTAAGCTGCATCATACCTCAAGCAAAACAGGAGGGAAACAACACTATTGTGGCAACAGTGGGTGAATGAATAGGATCCTCCAGCTTTTCCACGAAGTTGTGATCATGGAACAACCAGAAGTCCTTGCCTTCAGAAAAAGAGTAGAAGTGCAATTAGGAAAGTGTGCTGAGGCAGCTTTGAGAAGCCTGAGGGGCTGAGATGACCAATATAGTCATAAAAAATTTCTGCTTGAGTGACAGTAGATTTGGAAAACTGAATGGGAGGGAGGAATTTAGGGAACATGGAGAGAGAGAAGAGTGATGAATTAAGTGTAATGATGTTCACTGAGTAGAATGGTGAATGGGGGTGAGCTAAGGATATTGAGGATTGAGGTAAGAGGTGATTACTAAGTGAATTGTGAAGTGATCAGTTTGAGACAAGCTGGCGTGAAGTGTGTGATAGTAAAGAGAGTTTGGTGTGAAATATCAGAGGAGGTGTAAGTGTATGAGTGTGCACTGTTATTTAACAAGGCCGGGTGGATGTGTTCCTTTTCATCTGGACTGTTGATTAAAAAAAAATCAGCTTTAATTGAGATTATTATGGCAACCAATCAGTGAATAGCTCCCAAGATCTGACAGTCAGCTGTGACCAAAGTAATCTAAACCCTGGGAAAAAAATCTTCCAGCCCTCTCATCTAAATGAGAATTCTGCATTGTTTTCTTGAAGTTATTCTTTGATAACAATATTGTGAAGTTCACAGGATTATTTGTGATGTTTGCATACTTACAATCATATTAAATGAGTTGTTATGCTGTTTTGAAAATATATTGCGTTGGCACACATTTTCACTTTCTCTTTGCATCATCCCTAAAAGCTATCTTATGATTCCTGCCGTAAGTATCAATTGGTAGTAATGTATAGGGTAGACTAGTCTGAGCAAGGGGTGCATCTAGAATAATTGTGGAGATACAGTGGGAACAAAAAATGTAGATTTTTCTGTCCTTTAGAACCTACATTATGTAAAAATAGTATACCCAATATAGCCTGGTCAAATAGAAGTGTGTTAGATTAAGATTTCATCATTTGTGTATAATTTACTTTGTATGATTTAGTGTTTATTTGCACTTGTCATTTTTGTGTCCCCTAAATATCGCTAGTTCTTCTGTGCCACTTTATGCCCTACTTATATTTTTAGTTCTTTCATAGTGGGTCTTTCAAAGTGCATGACACTTAAGTTAATATAATTTCATAAAAAGCCAAAGCTATTAAATTCTGTGTTCAGCTGCCTCTGCATATCCTATAAAATGACGTAAAGGGTATACTTAGACACATGCACACAGTAGCTATCCCAAATGCACAGTGATCCCATGATCAGAAATGAAGACGGAGGACTCAATTTCTTTGATATTTAGGAATGTTTTCAGTTTTCGTTGTGGGGGATTAACATAAATTGCCCATTAGTGCAATTTACATTGCAGTATTCTCATCACTCTAGTTTGTAATCATAACTTACATCACCACAATGGATCCTCTTTGTGTTGTTGGAAGGGGAAAATAGATCGGGTGTTTCGTTTTAATAAAACGATGAGAAATTTGTGGGGGGTTTTAATATTTTTTTCTCTTTGAAAATGAACATTTGTTTTAATGTGGTAATGCTGCAAGATGAGAATGTTCACAGTTTCACCTTTCCTGTTTTTGTTTTTCTCTGCACAGCATATCTAATGTTCCAACTGGCTTGCTGACAAAACATTTTGAGGAACCTCCAGTATTTCTCTAGTCAAACATGACAAGAATCAGAATTACAACAGCATTTTTTTCTTCAGTCCAGAACTCTGATTTAGATACTGCCTTCTTGTTTCACTCAAAAAAATTTTAAAATTGTGAAACAATCAACACTGCAGTTTGGGAACCATAATTGGAATGACACAATTAAACCTTCTTTTTGAAATTTAATTGTACAGTTGCCAAACGTGACCAATGAAATATATTTGTGGCATCCAAATTATTATTTTCTTCTAGCTATCTTGTCTCATTTAGGTGTCAAACATGTATTTTCTACGAAGGCAGTATGTTCTTATTAAAGAAAGGACTTGAGACACAGCAATAATCTGCTCTTTTTAAAACAAGTGTTTCCATTTCTAAAAACAAAATGTGAATTTTATTTATAAGCTGCTTTACATCAAGTCATTTGTATTTGCTAAAACTAGCAGCCAGAATGATTTTCTTCCTACTGTGAGCCTACTGCTGAGATTTTACAAGCTCTTAAACCCTACGACTTCTTTGCAAGGGAAGTGAAATGATCTTTTGCTATAGAAAATATAGAGATTTGTTATAGCTAGTTCAGCATTCACATCTCTTGGCCTGTAACTGATGTAGAGAACAAAGAGGGATGAGACACATAACATTTCATTTTGGTAATTAACTGTTTGTGTGGCCTGTTGGCTGTTCTACCTGAGAACTAAAATCATAACATTAATCTCATAAAATTTGTTTCTCACCAATGTGAATGTTGAGCCTCTTTCAAGCATATGGGAGCTAGATGTAACAACTAGGGCTGAGATCGGGTTGTGATCCATATTCTGTTTTCATTTAGTGAAATCATAGTGTTGGATGGGGTGAGAGCTTCTGGATTAGAGTCCCTGTGAACTCTCTGGCTGCATCTTTAATGCTAATTGCCTCACCTATAATGTTGACAATATTTGCTTCTGTTGCTGCAGCAAGGACATTTTGCTAATGTTTGCATATAGTGAGTTCTTATGGAACACAGTGACTTTTTTGAGTATATCTAAAATACACATTTTTGTGTGTATATTTTGGTTAGTATAATTAAAACATACTGTAATGAATCTTTAAAGCAAGCTTTTGTACTTATCTCAATAGTGAATGATTACTTCTTCTCCCACTTCATGAGAAGGCCCTTAGATGCTTTTGATATCACCTCTCCTGTTCTGAATATTCAGGATTACATTTAATACAGTAATTTCTCTTCAATTATTTTTAAATTAGAATAATTTTGCCAGATATATGTGGCTGATGGTACAATGAGTGGAAAAGCCCAAAACCTTCAGTAAATCCTTAAAGATAAGTTTCCCAACAGATTTCAGACCCATATAATTGGTAGTCAGATCATGTAGCCTATAGAACCGGATAAAATACCAAAGAATGAAAGATGTAACAGTTTTCAAGAATCTACAACAGTGTTGAATGTGTACAGTGTGCTGAAGTGAATACATAAAGGCAAACCAAATAAATGTAATGAAAAAACTTTCCAGAGGTTGTTTAATATAACTTACCACTTTTAATCTAAAGTAGGGTGCTGTTGGGAATTCAGCTTGCTTTTTGCTAGTATATTATTCATAACTGTGAAAGGAAATTACGGTTGAAAACAGATTTAAGCATTTAGTCACTTAAAATAGATACATTATTTTTTATCCTGAAAATTTTAAATCCACGAACAATTTTTAATTCCAAGGAATTTAAACTTTAATATTTTTTTGTCTTGATAGTGTAAGGTAAACAATTATTTCAGAGGAAAAAATTCTCACTGGGATCTTAGCCTTATGGTGAATCTCCACTGTTTGAGCTGTCTAAAATGTGTAGTATATTCTGAAAAGTGACTGTTCGAAAAGTTGCACATTAATCACCTTGTATCTATGCTTTCTTTTATATGTATTCAGTCACTTTTTGCTTACTGCAGTGACAGAAGTTTCTGCTTTTAAATCACGTTGGCTCTGCTGAAATAGCAAGCTGGTGATGCACAGCAGTACAGACCTTTGGGGAGAGTGGGATATAATTTGATCAGTATAAATTTTAATCATGTAGAAGAAGGGGGGAAACCCAGCTTGATTTTTCTAATCCAATTTCAGAGTTATTCTCTAGAGGCAAAAATATCCTTTCTAGTAAACCAAGGACACTGATCTGGATGCCGGAGACAATGAACATGGAATCCTGTACTATTAGAATAGGAAAGGAGGACTACAAAGTGCACTTTGGGAAACAAAGTGCATTGGCAAGAGAATATATTATATTACCTTAAAACTGACTCCTGTGATATTTGTTTTCGTTTCAGAACTCTGGATTATTAGCTATTTACATTGTAAGGACTGTGTCAGGAGCATAGGAGCTGGTGCCCCAAATGTTAGCACCAGTCACCTCTGCTCTCTTTCCTCCTGCCCCATGGGTGGGGGAGCTGCCACTGTATCTCGCCCTGTCCTGCACAATCCCTGCCCTGTGTCTTTCTCTTCTCCAGCCAGCCTCCCCTCCCTGCATCCCCCCCTTTCCATCCCTGTGACCCACTCTGTTTCCCTCCATTGAACCCCTGCTCCTATCCGCTCAATTACAGGCAGTTCCCGGGTTATGTACAAGATAGGGACTGTAGGTTTGTTCTTAAGTTGAATTTGTATCTAAGTCGGAACTAGCATCCAGATTCAGCCGCTGCTGAAACTGACCAGTGGCTGACTACAGGAAGCCCGAGGCAGAGTTGCTCTGTCTGCTTTACACCAGGAGTAAGGAGAAAAGCCTGGTCTGCTGGTGGGGTGGGGGGTACACCAGCTGCGCAGCCCCCCCTAAACAGACCAGGGAGACGCGCGTGGCGGGACCACCGAGACGCACCGCGGTCCAGCCCGCATCCTCCGCGGCTTTGCTCCGCATCTCCCTGGTCTGCTGGGGGGGGCTCCCCCCAGCAGACCAGGGAGACGCGGAGCAAAGCCGCGGAGGTCGCGGGCAGCGGGACAGCCCAGACGCGCCGTGGCTGTCCCGCTGCTGGCGTCCTCCGAGGCTTTGCGCCTCGTCTCCCTGGTCTGCTGGGGGGGCTCCAGGGAGACGGGGAGCAGCTTTTGTCGCCCCGGAGGACGTGGGCGGCTGGACCGCGGCGCATCTGGGCGTCGCGCCGCTTACGTCCTCCGGGGCAAGAAAAGCCCCGTTCGTAACTGCGGATCCGACATAAGTTGGATCCGCGTAACTCGGGGACTGCCTGTAGTCTTCCCTTGAATGTTCCCAATCCCTTCAGCGCCTGCTGTATTCTTCTCCCACCCCACCTTGCACATCCCTGTTCCCCTCACCCCCCTTTTTTGCCCCCACCCCTCTTCACCCCACCAGGGCTGTCAAGTCCAATACCGGGACACCTGGCAACCCTAAATATCACATGTACTTTATTTCCAAGCTAGAATTTTGGGTGTTGTGCTGGAATAACAAATAAGGCAAGTATGAGATGAATTTAAAAAAAAAAATAGATTACTTGTTAGCAAAGTTTCGTGAAGTGCTATAGGCATGCCTTCTCTTTGTTCTGCATCAGAACATTCCTAAAGTAAATACATACGTCTAAGTCTATTCATTAACTGGGTTTTTTCTTCACCCAAATTAGGGTGGTGGTAGGCTTTTTTGTGAGTAATAAAAATGTTTACTTTAAAAACAGTATAGTTAAAAATAATGTTGTGAAACATAGAAATAACTCACTTTATGGCAAAAAATCTGAGGGGTAGCTGGGTTAGTCTATAATTTAAAAAACAGTGAGTAGTCCTGTGGTAGCTTAGAGACTAACCAAAATATATAGAATCATGAGCTTTTGTGGGCAAAACCTACTTCATCAGATGAATTGGAGTGGAAATAACAGAAACCAATAGTTATATATAAAACAGCAGAAGTACCTGTCAATTGTAGGACCTGTGTTAACGGGGATAATTAAGTGGGCTGGATGTGTCCCATTCATAGCTTTTGTAGATGTTAAAGGCAGGAGTAATTGGCTTTGTAATATGCCAGCCAGTTAATGTCTTTGTTCAAGCCCAAGGTAATGGTGTCAAATCTGTAGATGAAGTCCAGTTCTTCAGACTCTGTCATTGGTTAATGAAATTCCTTTGTAGAAGAATGGCTACTTTTAAATCCACAGGGCTGTGTGGTTTTTAATTTTATGGTACGTTTCCAGACAAATTTTAAGACTTGTAAAAATATTGTTATAGGGTTTTTATTACCATTGCTTACCATAACTAAGAATATTATGTGTGTAACTAAGAATATTATAGTTTACTTTTAAAACAAACCTTTGAATGCTAGGGAAGGCATATGTAAAGTTCCACAGACAACTTCAATGTTTGCAGTAATGAATAGGCTATCCACCACCAATTTTACTATGTCAAACCACCTGTGATGTTTCTAGTATAAAAATTTCAAACCATAAGTCTGACTTTACAAAACCCACCCAAACACATACTTAATGGATTGAACCAGCAGCACATGAATCTGTGCCTGATCAGAAAAAGTGTTGAAATCTGAAGAATGAGAAGACCTTTTAAAAAATACCTGCCAAGAAAAAAGAGTTTTTGTTGAGAGTGTTGACGAATACATTTATTGAACTGCTGACATATTCTTAAGGCAAGTCTCTGACAACTAGACAAGAAACCAGAAGACTGAGGTGAAACAAAAATGAAGATCGGCCTTATCAATAACCATGAAAATTGCACTGCTTTTTCTGATTGACTTGCAAAAGTAGTGGTTGTGATTAATACAGTGGCGGTATTAAATGGGGATTTAATTGTGTATCACAATCCTGGCTGGGGAAAATTCAGATTTAGTAGAGCAACAATGTGTGTGGTAGTTTGTTTTGTTTCCCTCAAGGGGACCGGAAGGAAGGATGCTCTGTGAAGTGGGATGAAGCCTTTAACTATTAAGCGTGTATTTTTCTTCCAGCATTTGAGGAAGAAGGTGAGTTTAAGGGTAAGTGGATAGCAAAGTATCTGGATTTGAAGATTAATATCCAAATTCAAGGCAGCTGCACCCATTTTCTCTCTGTGGTCCAGTAAGGGTACCCATTCTCAGGCTTGCAGCTTCCCAGCTGGTGCCTGTGTTGGGTGGAAACCCGTTTTGTTCCCTTGTGACAGATACTTCCAGACTGCACAGTGTGTTGCTTCACTGTGTTGTTCCCAGCAGAGAGAGGTTATTGAAGCACACCTGCTTGCTTTCCCTTCAGAAATTGTCAACAATAATTCACAGGTCTTTCTATGCAAGCCAGTTTTATTCGTATGATAAAAGCACTACAAAGAAAACATTAAATATTAAATAACCACACACATGCTACTTAACCTTAGCAGAGATCATCCCAAATCTAACATGAGCTCCATGATGGGAGAACTCCTTGAACTCCTGACTCTTTGGGTTTCTTTTGTGGTGGTCACAAGTTCATTACCACGGCAGCTCACTACAAGCACCCACTCTTACGGGGCCTGAATGTGGATGATTCATTATATTATTAGTTTGATTTCTTTTATATTCTATGTTTTTAATCATGAAATTACCCAGGGAAATAGATTTGTACTTTAAATATAGTAAGACTCATAAGCTGTTACTTTTTATCAACACTATATTCTGAAATGCTGAGTCTAAAATGCATACTTTATTTCAAATTATTTATGAGCTCATGTTTTAAAAAAACTAATCTGGCTGGATGTTAATGGCTCTGATCATGTACAACAAGCATGGAGCTAACTGCAAATGCATTCATGGGGTTTAAATCTGCATAGTTCCATTGGTATTAACAGCAAGTGTATAGTAAATGAATATCTGGCAATTGGTCTTAAAAGGTATTTTCACCGATAGCAAGTAAAGTTGGGTGAAATGCTACTTTGAAATAGTTTTGCATCTATATGGACAAACTAGGCTTAGTTAACAGAAAAGCGGGAAATATATTAGGCAAGGAAAAGGGTGAGAGAGTGAAGATATATTAATGGTGCAAGATCTATCACGCAGAGTTGAAAGTCAGATGGTAAAAAGACAATTAGAGAATTCAATGTAAAAAACTTAGTACTGAAATAAAGGGATGATCATCCCAGACAGCTGGCATATGGGTGGTATTGGCATTCAGCACTACAGGAATGTAAATGGGGAAGGTGAGAGAAAATTTTAAAAAGGAATGAAATATAGAAGACTAACCAAAAAAAATTCAGCCTGAACTGAATGGAGAAATTGCTAGAAATATTAACTAGAGGTATAACCAACCTTAATTTCAGTTCCAAAACAGAGACAACTTCAGCAATTTAACTGGCAAATAATTAGATGAAATGACAGTGCTGAGGAGAAAATAACAAAAAACCAACCAGCTCTGAAACAGCTGGTAACCTGTAGTGATAAGCATGTAAATGATTCTTTACAGAGAGAAGTTTGTGAAAAGTCCCTGGCCTAAGAAGTTTACAAACTAAACACTTTTAATGACCTAAAACTATTATTAGAGCTGGGAATTCAGTTTAACAAAACCACTCTCTAATTTCATCTTTTCCAGTTCTTAAAATGCTTGTGAACAGCCTGTAAAATTCTGGAGTCTATTCATTAACATTTTCTAGCTTTTAGAATGGCTTCCTCCCCTTGATCCCACCTTCAGTAAAAAGAGTTTTTTGAGTGCTTGCTATATCCATTCAGCATGGGTGTGTGTGCCTGCCACGTGCACTGGTGCTGGAAGCTTTTTCCTAAGCAGTACCTGTAGGGGCCAGGGTTCCCAGTGTTCACTGGAGTGGCACATGCATGCTGCACTATATAGAGCACCCTCTGCCCTCCCCCCCAGGTCCTTTTTACCGCCAGTGATGGCTCTTGGAACTGCGTGCTCCAGCCTTGGCTGTAGCAAGCACTCTCTTTGCATCGTTGATAGTTCTAAACAAACTAAGAACCTGTACATTGTCGGAATTTCATGTCTTCTGAAGAGACGCTACTTGGGAGGACAGGGCATGCCCAGTCCCTCTGGGTCCAAAGCCTGCGCAGGCCCATGCCAATCAGTGAACCGCATGCTGCCTGCCTGCGCTGGCTGGGGGAAGGACACATCTTGGACAAGTGTCTCATTTGCAGGTCGTTCCATCCCAGAGCTATTAAAGAGCAAAACATTCATCTTAGAGTGCTCTTAATGGAGTCAGCACATGCCCCACAGGATCAGCGGTCAGACTCGACTCCGAGTATGGGTGCGTTGGTGTGAAGTGCATGGCTAGCGGTGATGGCTTTACACTGGTCATTGCCCATGGCTCTGGCTAGACATGCGAGGAAGGCAGGCAGAGACAAGTCCCCTC